TTCCAAGGCCCCTGAGCTCCCCTACTCTTCTTCTCCCCACCCCCTACACCACAGCTCTAGATGCTGCTCTCTGAGGGTCCACCTTCCTCTCCTGCCCCCCGCCCCGCCCCGGCAGAGTGATGGCACCTCAGGGCCACTGGGGTGCCGCCGCGGGGCATCTTGTAACGTCACAGAGCCGTCGGGTCCAGGAACTGAGGTGTGGAAGTGGGGGCTACAGGATGAGGAACTTGGAAGATTGGGGCGGGGGGGTGGGGTTGCGCCCCAGGTGTCCCAGAGTGAATAAAAATGTAGGGGGTCCACCCGACCTCCTGACACCATCCTCCCGCGGGTCCCTTGTGGACTGGAACAGGGGACGCAGGCTCCCCCTCCCTGTTCCTGCTTCCGGGCGCCCTCCTCCCCCTTCCAGCTCCCCATCGCCTAGGTTCCCCCCCCCCCCCCGCCACTATAAATAGCCCCTCTTCCCGTTTCCTAAATTCCCTGCTGACGTCGGCAGCGCGTCAGTGTGTAGGAGCCGGCTGCATGAATGAGCCGCCGCACGAGTACTACGCGCGACTATAAAAGCCGCCGCGCCAGCCGGGCTGCAGGAGGCGAGCGGGCGCTGGCGCGACGCAGCCGGACAGGTAAGCGGGACTGACTAGCCGACAGGCGACAGGCACGGACAGGAGAGCAATGAGGAGAACGGCAGGCGACAGGTTGGAGGGCCCCTACAGGGTGGGGTTGGGGACAGGGTCGGGGCAAGGTTTCCCTTGCAGCTCGCGGAGCCCGGGCCAGAAGCGTACATAGAACACTATGCAGCACCTGCCCGGATGGAGAAGCAGCCACTTCGGAAGAGCATCGAACAGAGGACGGACCCCAGAGTCCCCGCGGCTTTTCCTGGGGCTCCTGCGCCATCCCCCCAGGAAAGTGGGGCGAAGATGCTGGCGCCTCAGGAGACGCGCCCCTCCTAACCCTCCCCGCAGCACGGTGACTCAGCCTCGCTGCCCCTGGCCGGCTGAGCCGGGCACCAGCTACGGCTTTCTCCGGACCCCCCGCCCTGCATCCAGCCGGGGCACCCCTTCCCCGTCCCTCCGGGCTGGTGCCTCTGCGTCCCGTCGGCCGGTTCACCAACGCTTCGACAGCCTCCCGCCTCTGCGCGAGGAGCTGTCCTCTCAGGACCAGGCGGGGGCGGGGCCTTGGCAAGACAGCCCCGCCCCACCCCCACCAACACCCCCGCCGCCGGAAGTGTCTTTCAGCAGGGACATCTTTGACGTCACAGGGCTTTGACGTCAAGGGCCGCGTGCCTGTCCGCGAGCGCTGGGGTCGAGAAAGGCGGGAGTCGCGGGGGAGGAAGAGCAGCAGCGCCCCCAGGGGCGGGTGACGGAGGCGCTCCCCTGCACCCCTTCCTTCCCCGGGCAGCGCGCCGGCACCTTGGCTGTAGACTGCTTACTGCCCGGGCCGCCCTCAGTAACAGTCTCCAGTCACGGCCACCGACGCCTCGCCCCGCCCCAGGACCGCGGACCCGGCCACCTGCCGCGCCCCCGGCCCCTCTGTCCCTTGGGGTCCTCTGCCCCGCGCTCGCTGCTCGCGCCGCCGCTGTCCGCGGTGCTGATCCAGCGCAAGCTTCCCCGTCAGGCGGTCCCTTCCCAGGTCCCCAGGGGCGGCGAGGGGCGGCTGGTCCACGTGCACGTCGCGCAACCCCGTAGCAGTCCAGCGCCGGGTCCCTGCCGCGTGCGCCGCCCCCGGCCCCCACCCGCGGTCTTGACGTCAGCCTGACTGGAGCTGCCGCGCGCCCCGCCCCCGCGTCTCCAGGGCAACCGTGGCTTTCGATTGTTACTGTGGGAACCGGAGGTAACAGTCTACAGCCATGGTCGCCCCGCAGCACGCCCACGCGCCGCGCCACGCCGCGCCGCTCACTGCCAGCCCAGTAAGGGGGAGACCGAGCAGAGGAGGAAGCGGGGGTGGCGAGTCAGAATTCAAGGTGTCTGCGGGGGTGGCGGGAGTTTTGGCGCAGGCGGGCGGGCTCTTTCAGGGTCTAATGGCCGCGCTTCCAACGAGGCAGAGAAGGAAGCGGAGTGAGTGGAGTTATGTCTGACCGTCCAGATCAGCGACTGTCCTGCTCTCCTAGCCAAGGTACTGCAGCCAAGGGGTGGCGAGAAAAAAGGTAGTTATGAAATTTGGGTTCTTTTTATCGCCTCAGTGGAAGGGAGGCTGCCCACTGAGGCAGGGAAAAAAATGTTTGCCTCCTGGGCACCGAAGCGGGTAGAAAGGAAAGCTTTCCTAAGTATGACACAATCTTAGTCTTCTGAGAACCCTTAGCTGAGCTGGCAGTGGGAGAAGAGTAATTCTTGAACCCATTTTCTGATGGAGTTGCAGCCTCCCCTCATTCCTCTCCCCGTCCTTCCCTCCTCTGACACATGCAGGGTAAGAAAGGTGCCCAACCCTCAGAAAACCAGTGGGCTTGTGAAGTTAACCAGACCCATATAGTTGCCGGAACTTGTCAACATCCTCCCCTCAGTCTATCTCTAGGTGCTGGATCCCAACTGGGGACTATCTCAAATTAGCCCTAAAGAAAAAAAGAAAAGAAAAAGAAAATCTAAAAAAGAAAAAATAAAATTAGTCCTCAAGGGGTGGGGGTGGGGAGTGAATCAGAGGGGCCTAAAGTGTTATGCTATTGTGTCAGTAAAGCGTGAGCAATGACCTCTTCAAAAACATTGTGTAGGTCATCTGCCGCCACCAACGGCACCTATGGCAGGGGCTGACCGTTGGCTATGGGATGCACGACTTCCCTAGGGACAGTATTGGGAATGATTAATGCAGCCCAGCCCTGCCACCAATTAATCAAATTTTCTTTACTTTTCCACACCCCCTCCTTTTCTTTTTCTTTTTCTTTTTTTTTTTTTTGTTAATTATTTTTACCCCCTTCTAAACTTCTAAGACGGTGCTGGTTTCATAGCTAATCAAGGCTCACATGCTGCCTGCCTCCCACCCGAGGACTCGGGGGTCTTATATTAAAATGCAGTCGATTCTGGAATCCAGTGGACCAACTGTGGGTAGATGTAGTGTATGTAGGTGGGAGCGTGCACTACAAGGCGGGAGGTCCAACGAGGCATCATCATCAGCTGGTTGTTACTTAAGGGGCCATGTTGTTTCTAAGTTTTCTGTAAAATGAGATAATCCTTTTGGGCAAGCCTAATGTGAGGATCAAATAGGATGATGTAAGTAAAAACCATTTAAAACTGCAGAATGCTATTTTGCTGTTAAGCACTATTCCATTAGGCTACTATGTCTTTGTGAGGGGATGGTGGTGTTGGGGAGACCCCAGCTCTGGACACTTAGGCAAAGTGAACAGGGCAGGGGGGCCTCCTAAGATTTTCGATTGCTCTCTGAGAATCTCTGGGACTGGGGCTGTTGAGAGGTTCTCTGCCAAGGGACACTCTTCCAGTCGCTTTAGGAAAGTGGAGTGAAAGGTAGGTAAGAGAAATGTAAGGGTATTCTGAAGAGACCAAGTCTTTTGTAGCTAGAACCCATCTGAAGAAGGTGGTCAGAAAGGAAATAACCAGAAGACTGACTGTACAACATTAAGAGTTTTTTTAGTACCTTGGAAACCATTTAATGCACCCCACCCCAACTTATTTTATGGATTAGGAAGATGAGGCCCAGACATGACATTTAGCCCAACAGTAGTGGCTGGTGGCCTCTGCTCACCTTCTATAGGGCAGCAGAGGAAACAGTGACTAGGAAAAGTCAAGAATGTGAGTTCTTGAATCCAAACTAACTTTGGATAAGTTACTTAGCCTCTCTGTACCTGTTTTCTCAGTTGTAAAATTAATAATATCTACCTCAGGAATTGTGAAGATTAAGTTAGGCAACTGTAAAGCTCTATTTATCGCAACATCTGGCATAGTTAGCACTCAATAAATGGTATCCCTCTCTCTATCCTCTGGATCTCCTTTTCCTTAGTTATACATTGAAAATGTTAGGTCAATGACTCTTGACAGCCTGCTCCCCCTCCCTAGCGGAGTGCATGAGAATCACATGGCTGGCTTTTGTCAAACAACACATTAACAGACTTAAATTCTACTCTCTTGAGCAGTGGTTTTCAAATGTTATGTTGCATGAAAATGACCAGATAGCTTGTCAAAATACAGATTCCTGGGTCTCAGCGACTGACTCAATGGGTATGGAGTTTGGCCCCAGGAATCCAAGATTCAACATGAGGCTGATGCAAATGGTCCCTAGAATCTGTGTATGTGTGGGGTGAGGGCAGGGTACAGATCGCTAGGATTCTCAGTTCCTGGAGGGCATGATGCCAGGTGACATACAATATGTCACATGTTGGAACCTGACTGGATCCTCACATGATCTGCTGCTTCTGGGAGGTTTTACGATTCTGGGGGAGAATTCTCATCCCTAGCATGAGCACTTCTGCTGCGCCCAATACTGCTCTGCCCCACCTTCAACCTTCTAACTTTAAGCCCTGGCTTAAAATTCATTCCCCAACATTATCTTCCCCTCTCTCCTTTAATCTTAACAATAATACAAGTAGCAGTAGCTGCTGTACACAGGCCATCGTTTCCCCCTCTGGGGACCTTGCTGAAAGGGGCAGCCTGATTGCCATGGTCATGAACCCTGAACTGCAAAGCTACTGCATTCCATTTTGAGCCGCTTAATTCCAGAGAAGCCAGAAATCCTAATTTTTGTGTGAAATTACTAAAGCTTTAAATCCTATAAATACAATTCTTTCTAAAATTGTGCCAAATCCAACAGGTCTATAGGAGTAAATCAGTCCATTTCAGTCTCCACCTTTTGTCAAGGAAGAGACCCTTTTAAACAACCAGAGCAAGGCCTGACTGGTGTGACTCAGTTGATTGTCATCCTGCAAAGTGAAAGGTCACCAGTTAATACCTGGTCAGGGCACTTGCCTGGGTTGCAGCTTTGGTCCCTGATTGGGGTGCAGAGAGGCAACTGATCAATGTTTCACTCTCACATCAATGTTTCTCTCCCTCTTCCCTTCTGTCACTAAAATAAGTAAATAAATACAATCAAAAATAAAAATGCAAAGAGCAAGACAGAGGCAGACTGTAGCAAAGAACTTTATTCCTTCACTTGCTGCTGTAAGGGTCCTAAACCCAGTAAACTGCGTCTGTCTAGGCACGTAACTCCAGCTTTTGAGAAAATACTAAAGAAAAATGAATTTTAAAGAATTACCTTGGACAGCTGCTATCTATAGTGAGGAACTCAGAATTTGGGGTAACTTAGGGACTGTCAGTTTGGTTTTCTCAAGGTGGGCTGGGGTATTTGTGCTACATCTCCCAAACCTATTTCTGCTCCACCATTTAAACTCCTGGGGACAGTCATGCTTGAGGCATAGATAGGGTCTGTTGTGATGTTCTAGAAAAGGAACAAGTTGGTGAGCCTGTAGAAATAGGGCTGGAATCAGAGAGCAGGGAGGGGCAGAGGTGGCTGCTGGAAGTAGGGCAAATGGCTGAAGTGGGTAGGCTTCAGAGTGCCCAGAAACAACTGCAAACCAGACGGGGCTGCTTAGACTTTGGCTGAGGTCACTACATTGTAGCCTCCATCTCAGAAACTGCAAATGTGGGAAAGCTTGGAAAAACGTTTCTTCTATGTTGTCGTTGGCCTCCACCCAAGGTTTATCACCATCCAACCCTTATAGCTCGTAGTTCAGAGGAGCTAAGGCAGTTACGGAGAAAGCAGAGGACACAAGAAGCCAGAGTTTGACGAAAGGCCAGCACACAGCTGTCAGGGATCATGACGGAAGAAGCCTCAACTCAGTGTGGCCCAGGTGGAGCCTTATCAGGTAATCTCTTCCTAGAACTTCTGATATAAATTCTTACCTGATTCAGTTACCAAGACCTCCTTTCCTTCAGGGTGGTACTTAAGACCTCCACCAAAAATGGGTGAGTGTATGTGCACACATACGTGAGCTTCTCCTGGGGGCTCCTAAATGGAAACACCTCCCTGCTTGGTGCTGCCCTGGAACTGTGTAGATGGCGAAACTCCCACCCGCCCTCCAGATCAGGAAAAAGATGCTCAAAATCTAAATCACCACTTTATTGTGTGGCATTCCCAGTGGTGCTAGCCCCTGCTTTTTCCATGTCACCCTCCACTCATTCAGGGCTCCACTGGCCTTTTCCGTGTTTGAGTACAAGATTGCCAAGGTGAAAGTCCATTAAGGTCCCCTGCTCCCATTTTCTTGAGTGCAGAGCTGGGTTTATATAGTGAGGTTTTAAGCACTGATATTTGTGTCTTAATTGGAGACTGTGAAAAGCACTAACAGTGGAAGTTCCAGAGTACAGAAAAAGGGAGGGCAGGGATCATAGAGGCTACCCCCAATTGTGTCCCCACTAGGGTGGGGAGGGGGGTATAGCGTCCCAAGCATTTGTTGATCTTTCACTCTGCAAACTGGTCCAAGAACTTGAGGTAGGCCTGGCGCTGAGATGCAGCTGCTGGAATGAAGTGGCCACCAGAGTGGGTGAGAGTGGTGGATCCAGTGAATCGGCTAGCCAGTTGCATACTCTCCTGAGAGGGGATGACACGGTCAGTGTCTCCGAAAACATGGAGTGAAGGCAGTGAAAAGGGGCCCTGCAGGATGGATTCCTGGAGGCCAAGGCCCCGAGGACAGAAACCGGATACCAGGATGATAAACCTTGGCAAGGGGAAGCAGGGATCGCCTGCTTGGCCAAGGGCACACACAAGAGCTGCTAGCGCAGCCCCCTGGCTGAAACCAAGGAGCCCATCGAAAGGTCCCAGCTTGTTCAGTGCCTGTGCCACCGTTCCCAGGGCTTCCTCCAGACCTCTGCACACCGTGGGCTCCTTTAGTGCGAAGAAATCGTCTGTCTCCTGTTCTGAAAACCACCAGCCTCGAGGCTGCTCCTCCGGAGGGCAGGGCCCTACAGCGATATGGGGGATAGGAAGGGGTTAGAGCAAGGGGAAAAGAAATGAGAGGGTTTTGGGAATGACAGGGAGAGGCGGTTACGGAGAGACAACGAAGTCTGGGGAAAATGAGAATGGGGAATAGATTGACTGGCATTGGTGGGGCGGGGGGCGCGGAACAAATCAAGGTGGAAACCTGCGAGGCTGGGATGGAAGAAATGACAGGTATGGGCAGAATGAAGTGGGAGGGTGGGAGGAATGAGTGAGGATACAGGGTGAGGCGATGCTGAAGGCTGCTGTGGAGACGCAGCAAGATACAGAAGACTCGGAGCTCATTTCCGGGGCATGACTCGTCTCACCGGACTCCGGCCCGGCGCCTGCTGCGTCCCTGACCGGGTGCGGGCCGCTGAGGCACACGAGCTCGGCGCGGCCCCGCAGCGCCTTCCTTAGCGCTCCAGTCTTCTCGCGGAAGCCCCGCTCGCTCTGCCGGAAACCCGCCAAGCACAACACTCGCAGAGGTCGCTGCGCCGCCATAGTACTGGGCAGTGCGCCGTAGACAACGGAAGCGGCCTTTCCCCGAGCGGAAGTTGAATTACGCGGGGGGAGCGGGCGGAGCCAAATGCTGGCACCACCCTGAAGGCGAGCCTCAGAGCGAGCGGGCGTTCCCATGACAACGCAGAAGGGTGAGGCGCAGCCAAAGCAGGGCAGATACCTGAGACCCAGGAGCGTCTCATGGAGCTAGTGGCACCACCTTCTCATCTCTGCAGCTGCAACCCTCGCACATCGCGTCTGGAGAAGGGCGCGTAGGCCCCTCCTGCACCTGAGGTCGCACACTTGGGTCAGAGTCCCGCTTCCACAGCGTCCTCTATCCCTCTCATGCATTTCCCGTAGCGGCCGCGTGGCGGCGGCCTCAGTTCGCGTCGTTAGGGAGCGACCACTCCTCCCTCCTTGAAAGTCCCAGCCTACCTTCCCCAGCTCAGGCCGGCGGGGTGCCTGGGAGGGCCGGTCCCGTCCGTGGTTCACTGTCCATGGGCCCAGCGAGCTGCCGGCATAAAAGTCCATGGGGTAGGGCTGCTGCCAGGAAATGTCTCTCAGGGCCACCGCCGCCTCGGGGAGGAAAACTGGACAGTAGCATTTGCCAATATTTGTCTGCACAGGATTATTTAATCCCATCCTCACACTGGCCTCGAAGGTCCTCTTAACATACCACAGACGAAATGTCAGGTTCAAAGAGGAAGTGGCTCAGCTGTAACCAAGTGCTGCCCACCTACCCCACTCCACTTCCGATCTCAGAACCAGGTACAAAGCCCACTCTCAAACAGTGGTGTTACCTCGTAGGGTGTCAACAGCGGCTTGGGGAAGGCTGTGCCCCAGTCAATGGAGAGGCGTGGGCATGCCACCTGTACCCATCTGTGAAGGGAAATCAGAGCAGACTCAAGGGAGGACCTTCCCCTCTCCTGGGCAGCAAGCGGAACATGACTGTGTCCCCAACACACCCAGTAAATGCGTACTATGAATTCTAAAGTAAAGGCTGTAACTTAGTGCTGTTTAGAATAACACTACAGTGTGGCTCGTCTTCCCGTTTTCTCCACTGACTACACTTTGTGAGGGCAGGGCCTGGGCAGCTCCTCTGTGATAGTATCCCCAGAATCAAATTTAGTGCCTGTTACAATATCAGTGCCAACCACCCCTCCAACTCATCTCACACAGAATCACTTTGATGTTGCAGTTGCCTACAAGCTCCAAGACAGGCAAGATAAGTATTATCTAGCCCCTGCTGGATGAGTATTCTATAAACATTACAATTTCAGGATCATGGAAGCAATTCCCATTGACTCCAGCCTTCAATGTGTGCTGGGCGGAAACCAGATTCTAAACTTTTTTAGCCAGCCATAGCTAGGTAGGTAAGGTGGGGAAACTTACACATCTACCTGAGGAAGCAGGCTAAGCTTGCTGGGGAAGATCTCTGAGAGCAGCAGCCTCACGAAGGGAAGTCCCAAGGCTTGGAGCCTAGATTCCAGGTGCTGTTGGTAGCGAGAGGGAGGCAGAGCTAGAGTCACTGTGATCAGGCTGCCAAGGCTGAACTCCTTAGCCTACTGATTTTTGCTGCTGGGTTTCCCAGCCAGTCCCCTCCTCCAAAGGCCATCCCAAGCCCTCTGACCTCCAGAATCTTGGGGCTGCCCTGGCGGCCCAAAGTGCCCAGGATAAGGCCCCAAGATTTAGCTGAACGGGCAGTGGCTATGGCTTCTTGGCGGTTAGTCTGCATTCGCTGATGGTCATAGTGTTCTCTGGATAGGACTTTGCTGTATGGGTCATATCTGGAAAAAAAAGCTATCAGGATCACAGTGACGGCCACTTGTGGGACTTGGGCTGTATACACAGCTCCCTGACTCAGCCCCTTGGTCTCCTGAACCTTCAGGCTCTCTTTAGGTAACTGGGAACAGAGGCAAGAGCGTGGATTGTCATTGGGAAGATCAGTCCCACAGCTGGAGCAGGCAAGCGTGGAAGAGGGTTTTAGGATGTCCGCGTGAATCCCAGGCGGTAGCTGGGTGCTGTGCAGCAGCAGTCCTGGGTTTGATACCCAGATTCAGGACCCAAGTACCTCAGATCTTTAAGGCTGGGGGCTGTTAAGTGGCCAGAGAATGAGGAGGTTTTGGCTGATTGAGGGCCTCAGTGGCAGAGAATCCCACCCTCTCCCTAGCCGCTTAGTCCAGCTCAGCCCATACCGGTAAGCAGGGACGTTGGGGTTGGCAATCATGACAGACTCCAGATGGAAGCGGCCGTCTCCAAGATATCTGCAGGGGGCCAGAAAGGAGGTGGTAAGTGTGGGAGGGGCAGCAGCGGAAGCAGGCACTGGCTTGGGGTACAGAGGACTAAGTTCTTGGCTGGCTGTGCTACCGACTGTGTGAACTGGGACGAGTCATTTCACTTCCTGAGGTCTTGGTTTTCTCACACGTAAAACAAGGAGTTTGAGTTGGATGACCATAAAGCCCCTCTGGTTATGCAGAATCTAAGAATGCCCCCAACCCCCAACCTTCTGAGGGAGGAGTAAAGCTGTATCTGAGGCCAGGCAGGCCACTCCAGGCTGTAGAGATCCTAACTTGGAGGAAGGGGGACAGATTCTCCCTCGCTTAATACAGACAAGGGAGGTAGTTTGTTATCTACGCTATAAATGAGGTTTCAGGGTATGCACTGGTTACTCTCTGTCCTAACTAGCTCTTGGGTCCAGTTGCTGAGTTGTAACAATAGCTACTGTTTATTGGACTTATGCCTTCTGTGCACCAGCCTGGGCTAAGAACCTGGCATGTATGACTTCATTCAGTCCTGTCAAATAATCCTCCAAGCTAACCTATAGTGATCTCATTTTACAAGATACAGCTGAGGTCCAGAGATGTTAAGAAACTTGCCCAAATCACACAATTATTAGGCACCATATCTGGGACTCCCCTCTAGGCCTAACTACCGGAAGGCTGTACCCAGCATGCCCTAGGAGATGCTACCTCTAACAGTTCCTTCCCAGAAGATGAAGAGACCAGAGCAGCTCCTTCTCTGGGCGACCACACCAAATTTTGATGAATGGCCAACACTCTGGGTGTCCCTCCCTCCAACACACACATCGCGGCCCCCAAGGGTAGGCATCTGTAAGCTCAGTTGTGCAGGCACAGACATAAGGGAAACGTCACTTGGGAAGGACTGCCCGGGCAGGGCTGGGGACGGCCCTGACATGGGCCTGTCGACGGGCAGGAGTGTTGTGGGGGTGGGGCTGAGTCCGGGGACTGCCCTTGCCTGCTTTCCTGCCATCAGCTGGGAACGGGGCTCCCCTCCCCAGTCCCAGCCGGGAGCTGTCGGCTCTGAGGCTGGCTGCATTCACACAACATTAAGCATTTCCATTACCTAAAATAATTAGGCAGCAGGAGACACGCTGCTCCTGCTTGTTAGCTGTCCGGATGCTAAATTAATGGGGCTACAGCCTGGGTGTGCCCATCCATCTTCTCCAATTATATTCCCACCATTTCTAGCCCACCCTCATCCCCCCATCAGGTTCTCTGAGTCCTGCCCCACCCTGGGCACGCCTTCTGGAGGGTGGACAGAGCACTGGGGAGGGAAACAAAACCTGGAAACCTATTTGGCTTCCCTCTCAGAGGGTGACCTTGAGCAAATGGTTAAGGAGTTTTAGACTCCTAGGGCACATTTCATACATCTCTACAACTGGCACCCCCATTTTTCACTTACACAACAGCTTCCGCCTCTTTGGGCAGGTAGGGGGATGTGCAGCCCAGAATCTCTCCAGGGGACAGGGGCTTGCACTGTGGGACACTCACACGATACTCAGCTTTCAGCTCCTGGGCAACTGCCTGTAGGGAAAACAAGAGAAGGAAAGCAAGTGGATGCAGGGGGTTGGGGGGCAGAGCCAGGGCCAGAGGACCAGCCTGCAGCACCTGGAGGGGGCACCCAAAAATAGCCTGCAGACTGGCTGTTCTCTGTCCACTTACCTGTAAGGTTGATACAAACTGTATGGTGCTGACCAGGGCAAGGGCACTGGCTGGCGGAAAGGTAAGGCGGATAGAGTCCAGCAGGTGGGTAGTGTCTATCCGAATGTCCACAAAGACATACAGCACCCGAAAGTCTTGGGCAGAGGTGTCCATGGGAACTGGGAGGAGGGAAGAGTCCAGGAGACTCTGTTTTGGAGGGCAGGAGTGCCGGAGGGCCTGGCCTAGGCCAAGGTCTCTGAGCACCCAGGATCAGTGGCTTCAGGTTTGGGGTAGAAGGAAGTGGTGGTGGGAGGGGGGCGGAGGTCACAGCTCCCAGAGAAGCTCCTCCTCTCTCACTTGGCTGGGGGCCCAGCCTGCCATACCATCAACAGCCTTTCAAACACCCGCATCTGGGACGGCAGCATGGTTTCCAAAGCAACAAAGTCCAAAGGTGGGAGCGGGAAGGCTGAGGCCATCCCAGAAACCAGGCGGGATCTCATGCCCACAAGCAGGACAAGGCCCTGTGATGAAGACCAGCATGCTGTCCTGCCTCCCTCCCAGCCCTGCGAGGGTCCAGGTGGCCTGGCCTGCCATACCCAGGCAGCTGTGTCCATAGTGCACCAGGAAGTCGGCTCCCAGGGCCCTTGCAGTAAAGTCGTCCACACAGCAAGCCCCATAGGTCACATCACCCATCACCATCACTTCAGCCTCTGTGAACCTGTGGGGGCAACAAAGGCACCGTGACACAAGGAGTGAGGTGGAAGAGGGACCTAAGCCTGTGGAGGACCCAGCTCCTCTCTCCCTGCCTCTCCCAATCCCTTGGATAGGCAGCTACCACTTCTGCCAACAGAGAGTAGGAGGGACCCAGCTGCCACCTCCTCCAGCCCTGGCAGCAGCTCCTGAACTACAGGATGGTCTCTGTAGCTCAGGCTTGATTCCTCTGCTCAGGCTTGGGCTGCAAGAGGAACCCCCAAATCTCAGACTGACATACACAGGGTCAAACACGGACCCCCAATAGCCTGAGTCATCCCATGCAGAGCAGTGAGGGTGAACACAAGTGCAAAGGCACCTGCCTCCAAGTGCTGGCACTGTGGTGACATGGGCATGCATGTGCGGGGACAACAGCCTCCCTGATGCCCAGACCCCCTGCTACCTCCTCACCCTGAGTGAGGGCCCTCTGCGCCCAGGGTGGGGGGACCCATGCGCAGCTCCCCCACAGCACATGGCACTGCCCACGCACCTCATGCGCCGGGAACAGCGGGCTCTGGCCAGCACATCGCCATGGGATCTGCTGCCAGGCCTGAATCACTGTGGGACGGGGGTGGGTGGGGAAGACCCTTCACCTCCCGAACTCACTACAGGAATGGAGCTCTCCTCTGAGAGACCCACCCCTCAGGCATGTACCCTGTTTCAGGGACTGAGGTCTCCCCATGCCTCTCCGGGGAGCATGGTGGGGAAAGCTGAACTGCTGCGGGACCTCCCCCAACCCCTCCTCCCCACCCCCAAATCAGGTTGCATAGAAGCAGATTATTCACCTCCTTAGAATGCAGCCCAGGCATCTGAGTCAGCCTGAGTACTTAATTTTTTATAGATTAAAATGTATGCAAATTGGCCCAAGCCCCAGAGAGCATCCCTAAGGGGCAAGAGGGTGGGAGCGGGAAGTGAGTCTGTGGCAGCAGCACCAGGAGCAGGGTGGGGGGAGGGCAGCAGCAGGGAAGTGGGAGGTTCCCATCACAAGATGACCTCCCCTCTCTCCCTGTTCCTGCACCGCCAGTACCAGATGGCTGAGCACTCACCCCTACCCCCAAAGGATGGCTCATTGTATTGAAGAAACTTAGACAAGGGGGCAGAGGAACTGAATACCATCTCCAAGGCACTTCTCCCCTGCCAAGCCCCTCCTTGCCCTACTCCCCGAGCTGTGCCAGACAGAACGGTTCCCCCTAGCCAGACTCCCCACTGACTACTCAGCCCATTCCAGGGTCAGTTCTGAGGATTCCTAGGTTCTTCCTCAGGCCCTACTAACTGCTCTACCTTAATTTTAGGGTTTTTTTCCCCCTTTGAGTGTGTATGGTTGTAGGACAGAGGTCCAGAAGGGAAAAAAACGACGTCAACAGGCAAGGCTGTAATGGGCATGGGATCTTGGCTCAGCTCCCTCTCCAGTGCCCCAAGCCTCACCTTTCCAAGATATCCACAATGGTGCAGGCAAAGAGGAGGAGGCCTTCAGGCATTTGCAAGGCCACTGCAAGACAAAGCAGAGATATGAGAGCAGAGAGATGCGAAGAGGCTGGAGTGGGGTCACAGCCCCTAACTGGCCACGCAACCTCTCCACCCACACCCCAGCTGAAAACTTGAGGGCTCACCTTTCTTGGCCTGGGCCTGCTGGATCCTCCAGATGGTCTTGGGGATCTCAAAGTTATAGTTGGAAGGCAGGACTTGAATGGCTGCCTGCAGCTGGGCGTTGTTCAGGATCTCAGGGGGGATCTGATTGGCCAAGCGGCCCCGCGGGGCTCGACCTAGGATGAATGTTAAGGTCCCAGTGAGTCCCTGGCCAAAACCAGAGCCAGACTCGGCTAAACTGTTAGCGCCGCCCATGTGCCCATGTTTCAGTCCTAGATCCCAGATGCACTGGGGCTTGGTCCTGTCACCTTCCCCATTGAGTTCATCCTGAAGCTGGAAAGAAAACTCATTAAGCCAGGAAGAAACCTGCACAATTAATTTCCATGTTGCGAGATTATTGGGAATCAAAGACTTGTGCCCATAAATGGGGCATGGTTGGTTCTCCCTGTACCTCAGGAGGGCAGAGGTGACAGCAGGGGACTGAATTGAGGGGCAAATGGAAAAAAAAAAAAATCCATATAACTTATCCTTGATAGAGAACAATCCTGAAGAAAAACCATGAACCAAAGCAGCCCAAGTATTCTGGGGAAATGTCCCTCCTCCCTGCACCTGAGAACATCTTTAAGTTCTGAGGTGCTAGATAAGAGATCTATAAGCAAACTGTTACAAGTGCTAATTTAAAAGACCTTCCTCACTTAAGTACACCAATTATGTCTCCACTGGTTAATTCCTGCACTCTCCCCTCTTCTCCTTTACAAGGAAAATAAACACCATACATTTAACCGACTGAAGTTCCCCAGTCCTTTTGTTCTACCCCGCCTCTTACCCCAGTAAGGACGGAAAGAACACACCCTAGTCAGGACCATGGGCAAAAGGTAAGGACAGAGAAGTGGCCTCAATATTTAGGGGGCAGTATTGTAATGGGGGGCATATGTAAATAAATAAATGACTCAACCCCTTGATTAAAGTTTTTTTTTTTTAAAAGATTTTTTAAAACTCACTTATCTTTTAGAGAGAGGGGGAAGGAGAGGGGAAGACAGAGAGAACTCTTGATGTGTGAGAAATACATCAGCTGGTTGCCTCTTGCACACCCCCAACTGGGGACCCAGCCCACAACACAGGCGTGTGCCCTGACCAGGAATCGAACAGGCAAGCTTTCCGATCGCAGGTCAACACTCAGTCCACTGAGCCACACCAGCCAAGATGTTAATGTTTGGTTTTTTTGTTTAATCCTCACCCAAGCATAAGTTTATTGACTTTAGAGAGAGGAAGGAAGAGAGAGAAAAACATTGATTGCCTCCTGTACGCCCCACAACCGCGGATTGAAACCACAGTCTAGGTATGTGCCCTGACCAGGGATTGAACCTGCAACCTTACGGTGTATGGGATGATGCTCCAACCGAGCCACTTAGCCAGGGCTCCAGTTACCCCTTTAGGAGCCAGTTCGGGAATGTGATAAGGCAAGAAGTTAATTTACTCAACGAATATTGATTGAACTTGTACAGTGTTGCCAAAACTTCTGCAAGTGCCCCTTACTATAATGGGTGGGATCCTCCCAGACCTGATCCTTCACCCTGTGTGTTGGGGGACCGTAGGAATAGGTGGGTGAGTGGGGCGGTGGTGGTGATGGTGGAGTGGAGAACTAGCAAGGCCAGCTGGGACCAGACCAGATTTGAACGTTACCACTCCTATGGTTTTGTTCAGGTGTTTCAACGCCTTGAAATAACCAGCCCAGTGTCCCTAGGCCCCTCACAGAAGCTCCTCTCAACTAAGTCCCTTGTGGTATTGGGGTATAGGAGCTGGTAGTCTTAGCAGCTCAATTTGTCCCGAGGGTCAGTAGGCCCGTCCTCCTTTATCACGTGACTAAGTCTTCTGTTTACATCAGCATTCCCCGGAAGACTGCGAGGTCCCCCAGGACAGGGCTGTAGTCTAGTCCCTGCACCCTGCACAGGCCTGGTATTCAGTGCGCGCTCAGTTAAGTGCCTGAAACCACGTGCCCCTTCCCTGAAAGCACTCCCTGCGAGCCCACTGTGGAATGCCCGCTGCAAAGCTCCGGCTCCTTTCTCTCCCAGTCGGGCCCGTCCTTCCCGGGCGTCTTCTTCCGGCGTCTGTCTGCCGGCCGAAGCGGAGGACAACGTTTCCGGCTTAAGGACTACAAGTTCCTAGGAGGGGCTGTTCACGATCGCGCCCTAAGGCTACAAAAGAAAGACCGGTCCCCCGGGCTCCGGTGACAGCCGCCCAGATAGAGTGACGGCGGGGCCTTCCACGTCTGGCAGAGGAAGGGGGCTGTCTCTGAGTTGGGGGCCCTACCCCGAGATGCAAGGTCCGGAGGCCGCAGCGTTGTAGCACCCACCTCTGCCAGGGCCGTTTCGGGCGCCCGGCTCCGCCGCCTCGGATGCAACCAACGCCGCCATCACCGGCCTGCCCACGTGGGGACCGAAAAGACAGCTCTAGATGAACGCGGAGCGCGCAGACATCGCGGTCGCTCGCCGACGGGCCAGCGACGGGCGGGGCTTTGCTAGGCGGGGCTATTGCGGGCCAATCTCAGCCCGCAAGGTCGGGACTCGCGAGAGCCCCTAGTGGTCCCGGACCATCGCGGTTACGCTCTCCCCGCGACTCTGTCCTCCCCTCTGACCCGAGACTGGTACTCCCAGACCAGGGCTCCCCTATCTGCCCACGCCCTGCCTGGCTTCTGCGGGCTAGTCCTGTGATTGGGGATACCACCAGGTCTCCCTTCTGCTCCCCTCTCTGACTTCCCTCCCTGGTAAAAGCAGTGGACGCGTTTGGGTGGGGCCACATTCCCTACTCGGCGAACTCCGCGGCCCCACAGGACAGAACTTCGTGCCCAGCTCCAGATTGAATCTTGGTGCCGATTTCCGGAGCACCAGTGGCCCTCAGCACCTTCCATACCCACAGTGTGGAAGGTTCACATGTGGAGAACTGCTGCCAGGGGAAGGTCCTGAGCCTGAGAGTGTTTTTCTGTGAAGATGGAGCAGTTCAAGGACTCAGATGCCCTAAACATTCTGGATTCTGGCCAACGTTTTCCCGGCCTAGGCCACCCCTCAGGCCTAGGGTAGACTTTCCTGCTCAGTGGCCTGAGCTCCTGGGATCCCAAAGGAAAGGCAAAGCAGCCAGGGAGACAGCCTTGACCTTTGGAAAATCAAATAACCTTCAGGATTGGCCTTCAGCAAGGTCTGCCCCGTAGAGCAATGGTTCCACGGGGCCGTTTGCCCACCAAGCCTTCTGGCACCGGGTCCCCTCTCTGCAGCCCATGCAGATGTGAGCACAGCTGGCCCTTTAAGTCAGCTCTGTGGCCTCAGGCTCCCCTGGAGGCCCTCCCAGCTTGGAAACTCCTAATTAAGGTGCGGAGAGAAGTGAAAAACAAGCAACCCAGGACTGGCCCTACCTAGGAGGCTGCCCAGAGAGGAGGGAGGGATGGCTGGGCAGGGAGGAGGTCAGCGGCCAAGGGGAGGACCAGAAGGGGCCGTGCTCTGCCTCTGGGGCCACTGACTCATGCTCTTCAGACAGTCACAACTGGGAACAGGAATGTGGCTGACATGGGTCCCCGGAGCACACCTCTCCCTTTAATGTGACTTTCCCATCTTCCCCTAGTTTCTCTGGATCCCCAGGGAGAGGGATATCAATTCTAGGGATCCCCTGAGCCCAGCTCCTCCCCCTTCACATCACTAAGGTCCAGCTCCTCGGCAGCGTTACCTCTGGCTGCAGTTATAAGTTCCAAGGGAGAGAAGACCGGCTCCAGCAGAGCAGTGGCTTCTCCTTAGCAGACACCCTGCCCCTTCGGGCTTTTTCTAAGTTAGAGGTGGGGCCTGTTGGTAATGAAATTCCCCTCTCCTCTTATAACAGCCTCTGTCTAAGTGAGCCGCCCTGGCCCCCATTAGGAAACCAGATGATGTTTGTGAGAACTAGACATCAAAACAGATGGGAGCATGTCCCCCAAGACCCTGCAGTGCTAAACGTTGGGGGCTGTTTTTGAACTTGGTCCAAGAACACCTCCATCTGTCTGTGGGGGTCTCCCTGCCTGAGTTACTCAGCAGTCTGAGTAATTACTGCCTGACAAGAAGGTGGGCAGAGTGCACCCCCACATTATACCACAACACCCGCCTGCAGTCACCCCCACCCCAGCCCTCCTGAAGCTGAAATAACTCTGCTTCTCACACTCACGCCCAGCTCCAGCCAACTTTGCCTAAGATGCTGGGGTTTGTGGGGCAGGGAGGTAAGGGGCGGTGGCAGGCGGAGGAACACACCCTGATTCGGGCTTGCACGTTGGCCCTGATCTGCCGTGTGATGCTGAGCAAGTTGTTCACCCTCTGTGGGCCTCCGTTGACTTGCGGAGGGCCGCCACAAGTTCTCGGTGTCGTTGAGTTCAGCTTGCGTGTCAGCCTGGCGGGGCTCAGGCAGGGTGCGGGGCCGGTCCAGCCCTGCAGCTGGTCAAGGCTAAGAGACAGAACGCCTCCTCTTCTGTTCCCACCCCAAGGTGGACCAGTCTTTTTAATCTTCAGAGCAAGGTTACTTTCTCACCTCCAAGCAACTCGCCTGCCTGAAATTCTCCGGCCTGAAATGGCCTTTCTCCTCAGCCTGTTGAACACAGCCTTCAAGACCTAACTCAAATGTCACCTCTTCTGTGACGCCTTCCCTGATGGTCCTTCATCCCCATACAGGGCTCGCAGGGACCTCTCCCACACTTTGTGTCTCCCCCTGTCACATTCTGAGGTGGCTTGTGGGTCTCTCTTCCCCAAGCTTCTGGAAATCCCAGCCTACATAGTTAGCTCACACCCCAACTTAAGTGCAGTGAATGCATGCGTGAGTGAAGGAATGATATCAGCTTTTTTGACCTTCCTGTCATGCGAACTTTTTCTCCAACGAATCACACAACTCATTCTCACGCTTCAATTATATCTCTGCTTAAATGTCACCTGTTCAAAGAGCTTTCCCTGACCCCCTCATGTCAGCTTCAGAATAATTGTTTTTTTTCCCCAAGCACCATCTCATCCAGACTTTTTCCTCCTTAGGTTCCTATTAGACTTCAAACTCCACAAAGGCAGGGACCTTGTCTTTTTCATTGGCTGAAGTCCCAAGAATAGTAGCGCCCTGCACATGATACACTCTCAATAAAAGTGTGTTGAATGAGTGATTTAGCCCACTCTTTCTCCTCTTCCAGGACCCCTCTATCCGAGGCCAGCAGGGGGTGCCGCCCTCCACCCGGGATCTGGACTAGCCTGAACCTTCCCGACGCTCGGCCCTGCCTGCCCCCTGCGGGACCTATTTTCTAGGCGGTGCAGCCTCCATTTCCTACGAAGCCCCGGGTGGGGTCTGTATAGTCCAAGGGAAATCAGAGGGCCCTCTAGGCGGAGATAGCCCACTTGAGCCCCACATTGGTTCTTCTTTCTCTGTAGGGTTTGCAACGGAGCCTCCTAGACTGCTTGCCGCGAGGTCTACACCCGCCTGGGGGCACGCCACACCTCCTCGCAAAAAGAACAGTGTCCTGGGACACGGGATGCGAGGCGGCAGGGTCCGTCGGAGCTGCTCCGGGCTGGGAGGAGCCGTCCAAAGAGGAGATGGGCAGGGGTGCGGACTTGTGATTGAGGGCTCCGGGCGGCGGTCGTCTCGTCCCAGCCGGTCGGCAGAGCGCACGCTTCCAGCCGCTTGGCTGGGTGACCTCCATCCGCGAAGGGCGAACGCGCGGGGGTTGGGCTGCGAGTGCGAGCTCTGGGGAGCCCAGGGGCCCGGGAGGGGCTTTCGAGTGGTCCGACGACTGGCTAGGGGGCTGGGGCAGGTACTTGGACGGACGCGGGTGGAGGAACGTCTCCGGGGGCGGGCACAGCGAAAACACCTTAGGAGGCGGCGCCGCACGGCTGAGCGCCGCTGCCCTGGGAATAGGACGGCACTCGGCACCGCGAGCTGAGAGCACTTTCATAAATTTTGTATGGGAGGCGCTCCGTGAGCGGGGGCGGGGAGCGGAGCGAGGGGGAGGGAGCTAGCGAGCGAGGGAGGGAGGGGGGAGGAGGAGAGGTGGGGACGCTGGGGGGAGGAAGGGAGGCGCCCCGCTCCGCCGAACGCTCGGTCCTGCAAACGCGCGCCGGGCGCTTTCCTGGGAGCTCCGCGTTGCATGCGAGCGCCCTTTTGCAGCAGCCGCGGCGGCGGCGGCCCGAGGGGGCGGAAAGGAGGGGGCCGCGGCCGGGGGGCGGCGTCCCCCCTCAAAACCGCCTGCAAAGTGCTCTGGGCTGCAGAAGCAGGCCGCCGGCTTCGCCGAGCAAGACGCTCGTCCCGGAGCTGAGCGAGCGCGCGGGGCTGCATGGCAGCGCCGCGGTTGCTGGTGGGCGCCGGTGCCCTCTGAGCGGGGCTAAGGCTCACCATGCCCCTGCGGGGCCGGGCCGCCGGGCACAAGCGGATCCCCGGCTTGCCCCCGCCTCGACGCGCTCGGATTAGCTGCAGCCAGCGCCCAAGGATTTGAATCCAGACCCTGGAGGGAGCGCGCCTAGGCCGACCTCGGAGTGGCGGCCCCGCGGCCAACATGCTTCGCAAAGGTGAGTTGGAGCCGCAGGGGCAAGTTGGAGTTGGATGCGCACGGGGCAGAGCCGCGAGCCCTGGAGCTCTCCGAGAGCTGCCTGGCGCCGGGGCTCCGGCCTTGGAGCAGCCCCTGGCGGGCTGGCGGGCTGGCGGGCTGGCGGGCTTTGCGGGGACGCACCCGCGGGGGGTTGCTGCTGGAGCTCAATCCCGGCCGGTGGCTGGTTGCGAGACACGGGATTTGCCCCGTGGATCTAGCGACCGGGCCTAGGGATCAGGCTCGGTGAGGTCATTTCCAGACCACAGTGAGTTGCCCATGATGGAAAGGGAGCCGGCCTCCTGGGACCTTTGCTTTGCCATTACAAAGTTTTGCACTTGCAGGCTCAGTCCCCTGCGCGGGCACACGTCGCCGGCTTCTGCTGCTTTAGCGGGGGGGCCGCGTCCAACCCGCGCTCCAGCGCAGCCATAGGTCAGTCACCAAGCGGCCCGGGCGGCTCGTTGCGCGCGCTAGCTTCCCAGGTGGGGCCCGGACGCCGGCACCTTCGCTGCAGCCCAGCTTTGGTTTCCAAGCTCCGGGCACCCAGCGGTCAAGGGGGATGGCTAGCGCCTAATGTCCGCTTTCTCAAACTTTCTCTATGCCTGGAGTGGAGGGATGCGAAGGCGGAGGCTGTGCTGGCTGCGTGCGCTGCCTGTGCCAGGCTGAACTTCAGATCTGGCTCTTTGGCCACCTCACCGCTACCCTCCGGCAGCCCGGCTCATTGGCAAGCGCTGCAAAGTTGGCGCGGGCGCTGGGGAAATCCCGCCGCGCCCCCACGTGGCTGCCGCTCGGGGAGCGGGTAGTGGGGCCCAAGGAAGGCAGGTGACCATGCCCTGACCGCGTGGGCCCCATTATCCGCTGCCCCGACCTCTAAGCCTGCCTCTATCCCCTCCCAAGTCCGGGTGGGCAGTGATGCCCCGGCGGGACCCGCCCCTCCTCCGGGTCTTCGGCCCCTGCCGGGAGGCCGACAAGCCACGGCGCCTGCAGCGGGCTGTCCGGGCCCTGCGGAAACCGGCTGAAGCGGGAGCTCAGGTAGCGGAGGGGCCTGATCCCTGCGCTCCGCGCTCTAGCCTTAATCCGCCCCTGTTTCCATGGCAACAGGCCGAGTTGTCGTAAGCACAGGATTCTGACCTCACAGTAGAATGGAGGAGAAAACCGGCAGGGGAAGGTGGCTGGAGGAGGGGGAAGAAAAAACCTCAAGGTGGGCAGAGAGAAGCAGGTGTGGTGGTGCTGGAAGAGACCCTGTAAGTAGGTCAGGCAGGTGGGGGAAGAAATCACGCCTTCGCCAGGAGCGGTAAGGGTTGTGTGATGGTCCCCAGTCGCTCAGGCTGACCCAAGATCCTGGGTTACCCCTGTCCTGTCAATACTCACAAACTTGGGTGTGAGTTGTGCCCTCCACGTGGGTCGGTGCGGTGCCAGGGAAATGATGGCTGCTTTTCAATGTGGTGTAACAAAAGTCTCTCTGGTTGGTTGGAGAAAACACTTCACTGATACACTCCAGTTCCTTGTCCCTGTAGAAAGAGACTAAAAGTCCTTTCAGCAACCGGTGTGCTGGCCAGCATGTCTCTGCACAAAGAAGGTGCTTGTTACAGAGCTGAGTGCAGGCCCAGATCTGAGAAACTTGGGCCTGGAGCATGCAAACTTGCCCCAGTGCAGAAGGCTTCCCAAGCAGTTTTAAAAGGCCACCACGTCTGGCTGCTGGTCTGTGATGGAGATAGTGAAGAGGACTTAACATCTCACTTTCCTTTTGGTGTTTTGTCTTTTGGCAGTTTGCAGTTAGAAATGAGCCATGAAGCAGCCCACGTACTGTGTTTAGATGGTTTAGGTGCCCAGGGAGGCTTGAGCAGCCTCCAGGAGCCTTTTTCTCCCATCCTTGCTAGCCAGAGGCCCAGCTTGGGATGAGCCCAGTGCATTCTGGGGGCTGCTCCCTGGGGGAGGCCCTTACCCTGCTCAAGAGGTGGCCCTGGAGGCTTGGAAGTCACGTGTGTTTTCCGCTAAGGCTATTTTTCCCTTCCTGCACAGCCTAGCTGGTGGGAGACCTTCAGCCAATGAAGAGGTTTCCACCTGGATTGGCCCGAGGGAAATAGAACAGAGATGGCTCTGTTCTGAGGCCTGGAGCCTGCTGCTGGGACCCTGTGTGGGCCAAGGACTTTTATTTTCGTTCTTTCCTGGGCGATTTTCTCCTTCAGCCCCAGATCTGATCCCTAGGACTTGTCTGTTTTACACACATGTAGGACGCTCAGGTTCTCGGTGTGGATTCTAGGTATGTGTCCAAAGCCAAAGGAGTGCCTGCAGCTAATGTCAAGGGAGGTGGCCATGGAAGCTTCTGCTTCTGGAATTGCCCCTAAAGTCTCCAATTAAAAATGTTATAGGATGGATTGCAATTTCCCTGCCTATCAGATTCAGAACACTGCATAGGGTCCTGGCCCTGAGGGAGTTTCATAGTTAATTATGATTTGGAAAAGGGTTTGAAAGATGGAAAAAAAATTAACCCTCCCTAGGTCCTGGAGGAAGGCCTTATCTTTCTGCAAAGGGCAAGGCTCATGGCCCTGACAATGGAGTGCTTTGTGGACTTAGGAGGCACAGTGGTTTGAAGCCTGAGAAGGGAGCGGGTGAGAGTGGGCATTGCCCATGAGGGTCAGTCATCTCTCTGACTTCTGGTTGTCCTGTTACAGCTAGTGAGATGCTGTACCCTCGCAGAACATTTTAGGGGGTGCTGCCTTGCATCTCTTAATGAACAGACTCTACTGGGCACAGCCCCACCTCGGTGAACCAGAACGGCCCTGAGTGGATCTTGCTGCTGACAGTGCTGGTAGCTGAAGGCTTCGGCAGCTGCCCTGCCAGCTTTTCCATACCCCGGCCTACCCTGGTACAACCAGGGATATAAAAAGCAAACCTCTGGTCAGAGACGAGAGGCAGGCAGGGCAAGCAAGGCCCCAGGCCACCCAGTACCACCCAGGAGGGAAGGTCAGCCCGCTGGGGATTTTGCTTTACCAGAAGGGGCCTGCTTAAGGTTAGAATCTATGGTTTTCATTTGTTGAGCTATAAAAAAGAGAATGCAAATCAACAGCCCCTGGGCTAATACAGAACCTTAAAATTTTTGTCTTGTTAAGCAAAGAAATAGAGTGCCAAATAGACTTTGTTAAGTGGCAGTCTAATTAATAATTTAAAATCTTATAGCTGTCTTTCATTAGAATTTATCTGTACATCAACCACAAAATCAGTCAAACACACACATTTATAAGTTAATGCCACCCCTGAATAATTCAGCAAGAGCTAGATTAAGGCCTGCAACCCAGTAAGATGCATTTTGTCCTTTTGGTTTCCATAGCCAGATGGGCTGGCCTGGTGGCCAGATTGGGTTTCCTTTGTGGGAAGGAGGGGAGGCACCAGGAGGACCGGACCGTGGGGCTGTCAGATGCTCAGTTGATTTGAATCCAGCGGTTCCCTAGATGGTCAGAGGGCCTCCATGTGACCAGGTGTGAGCAGGCCACTCTTGGAGCTGTTGGTGACCCGGCCCACTTGAGCCCCTGCGGAGAGGGGAAGAGAGGAGTGTTCCATGGACAGCGAAGACACTCTTCTTTTTGCTGCAGAGAAAGCATGGAGGGGACGGCAAGAGCCCGCTTGAGGGGGTTGAGCTAGGAGGCTGCTTAGCCAAATGCAGGTGCAGAAGTGGAATTTCAGTCTCCCCGGACCAGCTCCGTCCCACTCAAGGAGTGCAGCCAATGTCATGAAAACAGCTTCTTTAATTGGGAGCTTCTGGGCTGCTTCTTTCCTCAGAGCTCCTGGTCCTTTTGCCAGAAAAGAGAAGCCAAGAAGAGGAAATTTCGAGGAGCGCCAGGACACCTCCAGAGAAAGAAGAGGCAGAGCGAGTTGCTAACTAAAGTCCCTGCGTGCGTGTTCTTACCGTAGCCAGAGAAAGACCAGGAAGGCAGTATGGCGTCCCCTTGTGAGCTGAGACAACATAGGGGTGTGTTGTTTGGTTCAGTTCCTGACATGCCAACACCTCAGTGCAGTTCACATGTCCATTTTCTACAGAGAGACTGTGCAGGACCCAAAGTCCCCGCATGGCTTCGCTGGTCCCACCTCTCCAGGAGGGACCACATCCCAGAGCTCCTGGTCTCTGTCTCAGGCGGCCAACCCGGAGCCCTCTGGAGGGTTAAAGGGCTCTGCGTGTACAGAACAGGTAGACACTTGGAGCAGACAGTGGGCGTGGTGCCAGGAGAGGCTCTTGGCCAACCTTGAAAAGAGGAAGTCTCGTTAGGAAAAGGCAAAGGCGAAGGAAAGAGTAGGTGTTTGCCCTCTGACCTGTGGCAGAAGTGGCAGCAGATGGGACCTAGGAAGGAGGCTTGAGGGGTGAACCCAACTCCCAGCTTTGGAGTCAGGCCTGGAAAAGGACAGAGCAGAAGTTCACTTGCTGGAGATGGCGGGGGGGGGGGGGGCGGCATCACGAAGGATGTCAAGAACGGATCTGTTCGCTACCATCTGCAGCAAAGTAGTGGTTAAGGTTAAAGCAGAGAGGAGATGACAGGGAGGGAACAGATGGCCGAGGAAGCAAAATAGCTGGCGAAACAGGAACAGAGCCTCCAGGGACAGCAGAAGGCAGGACCTCCGTGCAGAGTGCCGGAAGCAGCCCTTTTTTCGGGGTATGCTTGGCCAGGCCGCCCTGAGCAGAAGTGAGTTGAAGAGAGGGGCGGGGTGGGGACCTCAGGGCGAGGGGTCCTTGGAGCTGGCTGGGGGGCCCAGGAGCAGGGACCTCCCCGATGGCATTGACTTGGACAGGAAGCACAGCTGACTTGGTGTCCATCACCAGCGTGAGGCAAAGCCACCTTGGGACTCAGCACGCCTGGCTGAGCCTGCTGGGAGGGCTGGGTGCTCGCTGGACGAAGTCCCTGCTGGGACTGGACTCTTCTTCCCAACCTGCCTTGGGCCTGCTTCTGCCAGTCCCTGTCCACATGCTGACAATAAGTGCTTATAATTACC